GTGCTACTCGTATCACCCGTACTACTTGTATTCGTGCTAGCGCTAGTACGCGTTTGGTACTAGCACTCGCCGCGGCCCCCCCCTTCCCCCCCCATCCCCTCCCGCCAGCGGCCGCCGTTACCGTCATCCCCACCCCGTTTCCCCCTCCACGTAACGCGCGTAACCCCCCCAGGGAAAATTGACTTGGCGAAGGACCCAAACCATATGCAGTTGTGGGTACCGCAATTGTGCTTATCTTCTTCGGTGAAGCTCCCGATGGGGCCACGAAGCGCTGCATTGGGTGGGAGGGAACACATGCGGGCGGTAACACTGGGGCCGTCGGTGGAACTCCCAATGGGGCCACGAAGCGCTGTACTGGGTGGGTGAAAATGCCAAATTGGGTGTGCGCGTGGGACGCACGCGGATGGTCCCACTGGGGGTTTCGGTGGTGCTCCGTATGGGGCCACGAAGCGCTGTACTGGTTGGGTGGAAATGCCAAATTGGGCTTCCGGGGCGCATGCGGACGGTCCCATTGGAGGCTTCGGTGGAGCTCCCTATGGGGCTACGAAACATTGTAATCGGTGGGTGCAAATGCCAAGTTGGGTTTCTGGGGCGCATGTGGACGGTCCCATTGGGGGTTTCGGTGAAGCTCCTAATGGGGCCACGAAGCGGTACGGGGTGTTTGAAAATGCCAAATTGAGTGTGCGGGACGCATGCGGACGGTCCCACAGGGGGTTTCCGTGGAGCCCCGTATGGGGCCACGAAGCGCTGCACTGGGTGGGTGAAACTGCCAAATTGGGTGTGTGGGACGCATGTGAGCGGTCCCACTAGGGGGTGCGGTGGAGCTCCCTATTGTGGCCACGAAGCGCTATACTGGGTGGGTGAAAATGCCAAATTGGGTTTTTGGAACGCATGCGGACGGTCCCACTGGGGGCTTCGGTGGAGTTCCCTATGGGGCCACGAAGTGTTGTACTGGGTGGGTGGGAATGCCAAATTAGGCTTTTGGGGCGCATGCGGAGGGTCCCAGTGGCCACGGAACGCTGTACTGGGTGGGGCGGACGCATGTGGCCACTTTTGCTGGGGCTTCCGATGGAGCCCCCTACGGGGCCACGAAACGCTGTGGTGGGTGTGGCGGACGCATGTGGCCACCCCCACTGGTGCCTTCGGTGGAGCTCCCTATGGGGCCACGAATGCTGTACTGGGCGTGGCGGACGCATGTGGTACCCTCTCTTGGGCCTTGCGTGGAGCTCTCTGTGGGGCCACGAAGCGCTGTGTTGGGTGTGGCCGACGCATGTGGTACCCCCATTGGGGCCTTACGTGGGGCCCCCCATGGGGCCACGACGCATTGTACTGGGTGTGGCGGACGCATGTGGTACCCCCGACAGGGGCCTTCGGTGGAGCTCCGTATGGCGCCACGAAACGCTGTACTGGGTGTGGCGGACGCATGTGGCGACCCCCACTGGGGTTTTGCGTGGGGTTCCCCATGGGGCTACGAATCGCTGTACCGGGTGTGGCAGACGCATGTGGTACTCCCTTTTGTGGCCTTACGTGGAGCCCTTACGGAACCACGAAACGCTGTATTGGGTGTGGCGGACGCATGTGGCCACCCCCACTGGTGCCTTCGGTGGGGCTCCCTATGGGGCCACGAAGCGCTGTACTGGGTGTGGCAGACGCATGTGGTACCCCCACTGGGGGGGGCACCGGAGGAGGAGGAGGAGGAGACGCGGGAACCGTTTCTTCAAAACGAGGACCCAACACCACAGGATGGTTGGCAACACTATCCCGGCGAAGGACCCAAACCATATGCAGTTGTGGGTATCGCAATTGTGTATATCTTCTTCGGTGAAGCTCCATATGGGGCCACGAAGCGCTGCACTGGGTGGGTGGGACCGCATGCGGGCGGTAGCACTGGGGCCGTCGGTGGAGCTCCCACTGGGGCCACGAAGCGCTGTACTGGGTTGGTGAAAATGCCACAGAGTGTGTGTGTGTGTGGTGTGTATGTGTGTGTGGTGTGTGTGTGTGTGTGCGTGTGTGTGTGTGTGTGTGTGTGTGTGTGTGTGTGTGTGTGTGGCGTGCGTGCGGCTTGCGTGCGTGCGTGCGTGCGTGCGTGCGTGCGTGCGTGCGTGCGTGCTGCGTAGCGTGCGTGCGTGCGTGCGTGCGTGCGTGCGGTGCCTGCGCGCGCGCGCGCGCGTGCGTGCGTGCGTGCGTGCGCGCGCGCGTGTGTGTGTGTGTGTGTGTGTGTGTGTGTGTGTGTGTGTGTGTGTGTGCGTGTGTGTGGGACGCATGCCGACGGTCCCACAAGGGGTTTCGGTGGAGCTCCATATGGGGCCACGAAACGCTGCACAGGGTGGGTGAAAATGCCAAATTGAGGTTCTGGGACGCATGCGGACGGTCCCACTGGGGGCGAAACGCTGTACTGGGTGTGGCCGACGCATGTGGCCACCCCTACTGTGGCCTCCGATGGAGCTCCTTGTGGGGCCACGAAACGCTGTACTGGGTGTGGCGGACGCATGTCGCAACCCCAATTTGGGCCTTCGGTGGAGCTCCCTATGGGGCCACGAAGCGTTGTACTGGGTGTGGCGGACGCATGTGGCCACCCCCACTGGGGCCTTCGGTGGGGCTCCCTGTAGGGCCACGAAACGCTGTACTGGGTGTGGCGGACGCATGTGGTACCCCCACTGGGTGGGGCCTTACGCGGGACTCCCCATGGGGCCACGATGCGCTGTATTGGGTGTGGCGGACGCATGTGGTACCTCCACTGGGGCCTTACGTGGAGCTCCCTATGGGGCCACGAAGCGCTGTACTGGGTAGGTGAAACGCAAGGAGGAAGGAGGAGGGGGAGGGGGAGGAGGAGGGAGGAGGGGGAGGAGGAGGAGACGCGGTGGCCGCATCGTCGAAACGAGTACCGAACACCACAGGATGGCTGGGAATGACAGTCTCCTCGCGTAGCGGGCCATTCCGCGGCAATTGCGCGCGTCGAGGAGCTCGCCCGGCGTAGAAGCGCCCTGCGCCCTGCCTCGGCGAGTGCACTGTGTCGCGGCAGGCCGTGCGCGCCCCGGGCAAGCCTGGGCGCCTGCGGCGTTGGGTTCGACGCCCAGGCTGGCCTGGTCACAGGCGTTGCCCGTCATCGCGAGCGCCCCCTCGCGTGGCGGTCGCGGGGCGGCGGCCCCGGCTAGGTCGCCGCGCCTGTCGTTGGGGGTTTGCGCCCCGAGGTCTGGCATGCGAGTGAGGAGCGCCTATTGTGGGGGGCGCGCGCCCGCGGAGTGATGCACGCGCGCAGATGCAGGTCGGTCCGACGGGCCCGCGGCGAGGCAGCGGGCGCGACGCTCGCGGCGAGATCTCGGGGGGCGCGCCGCCCCATTCTTTGCCACTCTCGAGATTCATTGCGATTCCATTTGTGGGCGCGCGCGGGCCAAGTGCCGACGCGCGCGAAGGCGTGCCGCGGGGATCGCGCGCAAGACAGGTCGCGTCGCGCCCTTGCGCTCGCGGCGCGCGGGCCCTTCGGCCGCTCTGCCCTGCCCGCCCGCTCCTGAGCGCATGGTTGCTGTGTCGGTCGCCTCCCGTGACCGCCTCGCCATCCCGCCCGCCGTTGGGGTTCTACGCCCAGGCTGGCCTGGTCGCGGGCGGTGCCAGTCACCGCGAGCGCCCCCGCGCGTGGCGCTCGCTGGGCGGCAACCCTGGCTAGGTCGTCGTCGCGCCCATCGTTGGGGCGCGCAGGCATGCGAGTAAGGCGCGCGTAGATTACTGAACGTAGCTGACTGCGGCGAGTTGCTGGTGCACTTCTCACTGGGCCTTGCATCTTTCGGCGCCTCCGAGAAAGTCCTCGTCTTGCACAGCTTGCAAACCCATCGTCCCATGTTTGAAGTACAATAGTGCAACAGAGGCCCCCAGGCACCGTAGAGGGGGCAGGGGGGAGCCATAGGCTTTGGAGTCAGCTGCAGATGCAGCCTCGACCGGGGGATTCAGTCAATTCATTGGCCGCTCAGGTTGCCCAGAGGTCGGCTTCGGCGTTCCTCGAAACACGCCTCCATGTTTAGGCCTGCAGGCCGAATCGGGGCGGTGCCACCTTAAATGGTGCCCCGACTCCAGCTGGCGCAACCCTTAATAGTTGCTGGGGGGCAACAGAAGTTCTTGTAGCAAGCAGCCCTGGCACATGCAGATTACACGCGCCGATAAAGTCAGCAGCCAGGACAGTGGTACTACGTCCGAAGTTGATGCGGCATCTGCATCTAGTAACGCAGCAACAGGAAAAGTCAGCGGCATATTCTTCCCTCTTGCGCTCGTAAGGAACAGTTTTGGCTTCGCCGGTGAGAGTGTCAATGGCAATGGCCACAATAACTCGTCTTGCTCTGTGATAAGTTCTATTGCTTTGGCAACAGGAGCCATAGAGGTATCCTGGCAGGGTTTGAGCTAGAATGGTCTTCGGGACCATCGCCCACAATGCCGCTTTCTCGAGCCCAAGCCCTGCCAGGGCGTTAGCGTTAAACTGGGTCTTGCATCCAGGCCAGTTTGGAAGTGTGCCCAATCGACGTTATTGAGCGTATCTTATTTTCGAAGCTCAGGTGTTCGCTGCAGTTACCGGCCGTGGTAATTCGTGCAAGCAGTCTGCGATACATGCTGTCTTGCTCATGCCCGCAGGAAGAGGGGCAGAGAAACTGGAGGAGCAGGAGTCGGCGGAGGAGCAGGAGGGGCAGGAAGCGGAGAAGAGGGAGGAGGAGAGCAGCAGGAACAGGAGGAGGGCCAGGAGGAAAAGGATGCCTACTGCTCTCGTGGGCACTCCTTCTGCCACGTGGCTCTCCTCTGCCGGGACATCCGGCGTCGTCTTTTCTCCCATCAGCGTGATTCCCTGGGGGGAGGGCTTGACTCCTTCCGGCAGACGGGCTTTCCCTTCCGAGGTCCGAGGCGCTTTACTTTGACGGCAGGAGGGAGGGAGGAGTAGGGGGAGTGGGAGGGAGGAGGGATGTAGGGATGGAGGGATGGGGAGCTGGAGGGGGGGGGGAGCACCCCCCCCTGGCCGAGAGGACAACCGGGAGCGGGCGAGGCGGGAGGAGCAGGGCCGCAGGCTCCGGGCGGAGGCGCGAGAGGCGGCGCCCGCCTTCACGGAGGAGCTTTTCAAGGGGAGGGCCAACCGAAGAAGAACCATCTGCAGTCAACCATGATTCCGATACCGCTGGTCGTCCTGGAGAGTCCTCGTCACCACATCTGGATCCTCATAGTGCACCCCAGGAGAGGTCCAGGGAGTAGCGGTATGGGTATTTTTTGTCTCCACCCCATGCAGCATAGTCGGCAGGTTCGTGTCGTGTCGAGCGCGGGAGTTCAACGAGGCTTCGGGAGAGGGCCGTATTCTTTCCCACCACGCCTCGGCGCGACACGCTGACCACGCTCCTGGTCCCCAGGCATCAGCGCAGATCCAAGAAGCCCTCGCGGATCTCTGGAAGTGCTTCTGCCGTTGTTGTTTTTCTAGTCAAGCTGACCGGCGTACCGATCCCAGCTAGGCCCAAGATTGGCGAACGCAGAGATTTGACGGCTTGGACACATGGCGAGGCGGCCAGTTCGTCGCCATGGTTTGGCCTTTGGAGGCCGGATTCGGCTTTTCGGGCTCGGGATTCGGGATGAAACGCTGGGCTTGGGAAAGGTCGAGAGGTCCGGGTGCCCATGTCTCCAAGAAACCGCGTCGCTGACCGCTTCACGAATCCTGCTTGGGCCACCTAGTTATTCTGGGCAGGGCCCATTTCGATCCGATCCGTCCGATCCGATATTGATTTCTGTTTGTTCGATCCGGTTCTGCTTCCGGTATTCCGACTGTGCGATGCGGCCCGATGTTCGCATGGCATCGTTGTGTGTCTTGCTGTCGAGGCCGATCAGTGCCGACTCCGACTTCGTGCCGATGCAGACTGATTCGATGTACGTTCCGATCCGATTCGATTTCCCGCTTCGATGTTGATTGCTCCTGTCTTGGTCCCAGGATGTGTGTCCATTAGACAAGCCTCGGATGAGGGTAAGTAACTTCAGAGTGTTTCCCCGAGCGTTCTCAGCGCGATCCAGAGCGATCTGGAACGGCCGCGGCGTTCGATACATGCTCTAGGCTTGCATCGGGTCAACGTAGACTAAGGTACGAACCAGAAACACCTTCAGGATCTTGCGAAAATTTCCCTGGAATCTCTGGTAGCGGTACGGGGGCCCCTTCACATCTCCGGCAGCAGACCCTCTTGGCGAAATCTCCGACAAAATCTCCGGGAAGCGTAATCTGCGGCGAATCTCCAGCGAAGTCTCTGGGAAGCGATATTTCCGGCGAAATCTCCGGGCCATCCAGCCTGGCCGAGAATCGCCACCAGGCATGGAATCTATTTGTAATCCTCTACGTAAGGAATCCTACTGTGATCGTCCACAGAAGGAATCCTTTTGTAATTTCCTGCAGAAGGAATCTGATTGTAATCCTGCACGATTGATTGTAATCCAATTGTCATGCGGCAGGTGGTCGCATGGGGTCGGGGTGACACGTGTCACCCCTGTGCTGTTTCACATTGCATCATGTTGGCATTCAGAATGCGAGTGGAATAGTTGGTTTTGCCCACGCAGTTTCCGGGGTGACACGCGTCACCCCTGTGCTGTATCACACTGTATGGTCCCGTGTTGGCATCCAGAATACGAGTGAAACACTTGATTTTCCCCACACGGTTTTCGGGGTGAACATGTCACCCCTCTTCTGTTTCACATTCTATGGTTCCATGTTGGCGTCCAGGATACGAATGAAACAATTCAGTTTCCCCACGCGGTTTTCGGGGTGACACGTGTCACCCCTGTGCTGCTTCACGCTGCATGGTCCCACGGTGGCATCCAGAATACGAGTGGAACAATTGGGTTTTGCCAACGCGGTTTTCATCCAGCATACGAGTGGAGCAATTGGGTTTCCCCACGCGGTTTTTGGGGTGACACGTGTCACCCCTGTGCTGCTTCACGCTGCATGGTCCCATGTTGGCATCCAGGATACGAGTGGAACAATCGGGTTTTGCCCACGCGGTGTTCGAGGTGACACGTGTCACCCTCGTGCTGTTTCACACTGTATGGTCCCATGTTGGCATCCAGAGTACGAATGGAACAATTGGTTTTCCCCACACGGTTTTCGGGGTGAAACATGTCACCCCTCTTCTGTGTCACATTCTATGGTTCCATGTTGGCGTCCAGGACCCGAACGAAACAAATGAGTTTCCCCACGAGGTTTTCGGGGTGACACGTGTCACCCCTGTGCTGCTTCACGCTGCATGGTCCCATGGTGGCATCCAGAACACGAGTGGAACAATTGGGTTTTGCCCACGCGGTTTTCGAGGTGACACGTGTCACCCATGAGCTGTTTCACATTGTTTGGTATCAGGTTGGCATCCAGAATGCGAGTGCACAAATTTGGTTTTGCCCACGCGGTGTTCGGGGTGACGCATGTCACCCCTTTGTTTCACACTGTATGTGCTCATGTTGGCAGCCAGAGTACGAGTGGGACAATTCGGTTTTGCCCACTCGGTGTTCGGGGTGACACGTGTCACTTTTGTGTTGTTTCACGCTGTATGGTCCCATGTTGGCATCCAGGATACGAGTGAAACAACTGGGTTTCCGCAAACGGTTCTCGGGGTGACACGTGTCACCCCTTGTGCTGATTCACATTGTATGTTTTCTTGTTGGCATCCAGAGTGCAAATGGAACAATTGGTGTTCCCCACACGGTTTTCGGGGTGACAGTGCTGTTTCACACTGTATGGCCTAAGTTTGGCAGCCAGAATATGAGCGGAACAAGTGGGTTCCCCCACACGGTTTTCGGGGTGACACGCGTCACCCCTGTATTGTGCAACACTGTATGGTCCCATGTTGGTACCCAGCGTACGAGTGGAACAATTGGGCGCTCACACGCGGCTTTCGGGCTGACACGTGTCACCCCTGCCCCTGAGCTGTTTCACATTTCGTGGTCCCATGTTGGCATCAATTGGATTTTGCTCACGAGGTTTTCGGTGTGATACGTGTCACCCCTGTGCTGCTTCACACTGGATGGTCCCATGTTGGCATCCAGAATACGAGTGGAACCATTCGGGTTTCCCCACACGGTTTTCGGGGTGACACGCGTCATCTTTGTGCTGTTTCACATTGTTTGGTCTCATGTTGGCATCCAGAGTACGAGTGGAACAATTGGTTTTTCCCCACGCGGCGTTCGGGGTGACACGTGTCACTTCTGCTGTTTCTCACTCTATGGTGCCAGCCAGTTTCACAGCCAGAATTATCCAGAATATTATTTCCGACGGGGAAGAATTTCTCTGGAGATTTCCGACGGGGGAGATTTCCCGGGAGATTTCTACGAGAATTTCCCGGAGAGTTCCTGGGAGATTTCCGACGGGGGAGATTTCCCGGGAGATTTTCTGGACGATTTTTTGGGAGATTTCTGACGGGGGAGATATCCCGGCAGATTTTCTGGAAGATTTCCCGGGATATTTCCGAAGGGGCAGATTTCCCGGGAGACTTTCCCAAAGAATTCTTGGGAGATTTCCGACGGGGGGGGATTTCCGGAGATTGATTTCCTGTGAGATTTCCGAAGATTTCCCAGGAGATTTCGGGCAGATTTTTGTTTTGAGATTTCCTTTAGATTTCCTAGGAAATTCCCAACGGAGGAGATTTCTGGAAGATTTGGGAGATTTCTGAAAGATTTCCGGGGAGATTTCCGACGGGGGAGATTTTCCGGGAGATTTTCCGGATGATTTCCCGGAGATTTCTGACGGGGTAGATTTTTTCCCGGAAAGGGCATAGGCCCAGGGTTCTTTTTTAGTGTGTTTACCCCCGGTTTCGACGTGAGGTGGGCTAGCGAATTTCTTTTGCGATAAATATCGAGGTCGAGGTGGGCCGACGAATTACATGTTGAGGATGTCTCGAGCGAAACGCTTGTTTTTCAGAATTCGGTGAGGATGTCTCGAGCGAAACGCTTGTGTTATAGATTGTCCTCTCCTTGGGGCCAGAATTCAAAGGATCTCTGAAGTGAAATGCTTGTTTTCACGTGCCCAGGTCTTGAGGATGTCTCGAGCGAGACGCTTGGTTTCACTCCTCCAGGTTGCCCAGGCAGAGGTCTAGCGCCAGGATTTGTTGAGGATGTCTCGAGCGAGACGCTTGGTTTCACGCGTCCTCGTCGCCCAGGTGGATGTCTAGCATGAGGATGTGTTGACGAAGTCTCGATCGAGGTGCTTGTTTGCACGTGTCCAGGTTGCCCAGGCGGATGCCTAGCATGAGGATATGTTGAGAATGTCTTGAGGGATACGCTTGTTTTCACGTGTCCAGGTCGCCCAGGCGGATGTCTAATATCTAACATGAAGATGTGTTGAGGATGTCTCGAGCGAGACGTTTGCTTTCACGTGTACAGGTCGCCCAAGCGGATGTCTAGAATGAGGAGGTGTTGAAAACGTCTCGAGCGAAACGCTTGTTTTCACGTGCCCAGGTCACCCAGGCGGACGTCTCACATGAAGATGTGTTGAGGATGTCTCGAGCGAACCACTTGTTTTCGCGTGTCCAGTTCGCCCAGGCGGATGTCTAGCATGAGAATGTGTTGAGGATGTGTTGAGCGAAACGCTTGTTTTCACGTGTCCAGGTCGCTCAGGCGGATGTCTAGCATCAGGATCTTGACAGGATGTCTCGAGCGAAACGCTTGTCCCCAGCACGGTCCGTAGCGCGTCCCTTTGGCACGTCCCGCGGTGCGTCCCCATGGCACTGGCACGTCGCTTGGCGCGTCCCTTGAGACGTTCCGCGGCGCGTCCTCCTGGCATGTCCCCCTGTCAAATAGCTCTGGGGCAGCCACTATGTTCAGGCAGCTCGAGCTTAAGATCCACATCAGTTCGGTCAGGACTCGGATGCAAGGGGGACTCGATCCACAACGCTATAGAGCACACTCGCGGCATGGCACATCGCAATTCAGCACGGCGCAGCACAGCACAGACTTCGGCACGGTACATCAAGATCGATACATTCAGCATTGCAACCTGGCACGTTCTGTGGGGCGTCCCTTGTCGAGTCCCCCTGGCACGTCGCGTGGCGCGTCCCCTGGCACATCCCGTGGCACATCCATTGGCACGTTCCGTAGCGCG